GAGGCCCGGAAGTGAAGGCCCCGGGGGCGCGGCCAGGGCTCAAGCGGCCCTGAGCGCTGAGGGAGCAGCTGGCTGGCTGTGGTGACAGGGGGCACAAGCAGCACCGTGCATTTGTTCCGTGGGCGCTTTTTTTAAGTTGTATCTATTTATGCACACAGGCCTGGGGGACAGGCCAGCCGTGTAGCCGGCGAGGGGATGCATCAGAGGCAGCCGGGGAGCAGAAAGGCAGACTGACAAAGCGCCCTGCTGAGGGGAGCAGCAGGCGAGCGGAGGGGCTGCCGCGCCCTGGGGGTCACTCCCTGGCCCACGGAACTCGGATTAGGGACCTCACAGGGCTTCCTAATGCGGTGCTTTAACCCAGTGTGCCACCAGGGAGGGCCCTTTGGGCGCTTCTTATAGGCAAAGTAGCACTGAAAGACACCAGCAATGAGCCCGGGGGGCTTCCACCGGGTGAGGTGACAGCCCCCAGGAGGTGCGACCAAGCATGCGCTCGGGGCATTTACCACAGGACTGCGGCTACTAAATACTTGAATTCACGGATGTCCTTTGGAATCATCCCTCATCAGGACCTCTAGGGTTACAGCGTGCTCAAAAATAGCTGAAGGGTGCATCGTTTTGGACAGTGAGAGTTAAAGATGGAAACCTGACCCCCACCAAACTGCGAAAGGCACCTGGCGGGGAGGCGTAGCTGAACTGCTGGCTGCCCCCCTGACCAGGGACTGCTGGGAGCCAGTGCACCTCAACAGCGTTCTCCATATTAAAAAAATAATAAAGTCTTTGAGACCAAAACCCTAAAGAGGGCATTTTGAAGAATTTTTTTATAGGTTGGATCTGTATTAACATAATTTTTTAAGGATTTATTTATTTATGCATGTCAGAGCTGGGGTACAGGCCAGAGGTGGGGGGTGAGAGGAGCCCCCAGAGACAGAGCGGGGAGCAGAACAGGCGGATCCCCTGAGACCCACTGCAGAGGGGAGCAGCGGGGAGACGGGGGGTCTGCTGTGCCCTGTGGCTCACCTGGGGCGGGGGATGGACCTGGGACGCAGTGGCTACCGACAGCTCTCGGGGCTGACTCACCCCTGCGCCCCCCGGGAGGCCCTGGATTTGTATTAACTATTGAGTCACGTTTACTTCCAGTATTTAACCAGGTGTCTAAATTATATCTTCCAAAATGCAGACAAGAGAATGGCAGACTCCTTTGCATCAAACGCCTTCACCGCACTTTCAGATCTGCATCCAAACATGGCCAACACGGTAGGTCTCCATGCCGTGGCGTTCGCTCGACCGGAACTTCCCGAGGTGATGTGTCAGTCATGTTACTGGGCTGTGAGCCACGTGTGTGTGACTGGCAGGTGTCACATGCGCTTTGCATAATTTTTAGATGTTAAATGCCTCTAACCGCCTTTGTATTTATGCCAGTTAAGGAGCCTTAGTTTCCCTTCTAGCGGGAGAGTACGCGATGTAGATGTGACTAGTGAACTGCGATTGCTCAAAATGGTCAGACTTTTGGTTTTGTAACTGCTCAAATTGAGCACCACGGAAGGAAACGTTTTGCTCAGCAGCACCTGTTCTCTCTGCAAGCTGTCCAGTGTAGAGTGAAACACTTGTGCAGTTTTATGGCATCAAGCTACACAACTGTGTCTGAAACCATGACGTGGATTCATTGTGGGGCAAGAGTTATGGGGACTCAGTAATTCAAATATACCCAGACTAATCTGTACTTGAAAGAAACCTAAGCAGAATTACTTCCCAAGGGGCTTCCTGTGCAGCTGAGGCCACACTCCGCCCTGCCAGCAGCCTGCTATTCACATCTGACACTGGAGATCAGATTTCTTAAAATGCGATAAATGTAGATGTAACTTTATCTTTACACATCACTATGTAAAGTTGCGATTATAAGTCTACCAGTGTTATAAGTGTTGCTGTTTGTATTTGATAGGTTTTTCTGTTTTAAGATTTATTTATTTGCCCTCCCTGGTGGCACAAGGGGTTAAACCACAGCACTGTGAAGCTAGCCATAGCTGCTTCAGCTCAAGTGCAATCCCCAGCCAGGGAGTGACCCCAGAGCGCAGCAGACCCCACCTGTCTCCCCGCTGCCCCTTCAACAGTGTGTTTCAGTGGAGCCGCCTGTTCTGCTCCCCACTCTGTCTCTGGGGAGTCCTCGCACCCCCCGCACCTGTGGCCTGTACTCCAGTTCTGTAAGCGTAAATAAATAAATCCTTAAATAATTATTTACTTGTGCATACAAGAGCGAGGGTATAGGCCAGAGGTGGGGGGTAAGGAGCCAGCAGACAGGGTGGGGAGCAGAGCAGGCGGATCCACTGAAACGCACTGCTGAGGGAGAAGCAGGGACACAGGAGGTCTGCTGCGCCCTGGGGTCACTCCCTGGCAGGAGTGGACTCCAACTACAGCGGCTGCGGACAGCCTCACAGTGCTGGGACTGACCCTCGTGAGCCCCGGGAGGCCCCTGTTAGATGTCTCTTGAGTCAGAAAGTTTAGCTCAACACTCCCATTGGCTGTGCTTCGATCACAGCCAGTGAGCTCTGCTGCCCATGGGGTGAGAAGTGACCACGGGGCCTCGTGGTGACCAGAGTCACAGCTCAACAGGCTCAGCAGCCTCAAAACCTTGCTGGATTTGAATTTAAGAGGGTGCAAGGCCAAAATCATCAAGTAGGATTAGCAATAGAAGTTTATTATTTCAGAAACAGGTCATTACTTCTATTTCTTAAGACGTTTTTTAATATCTGATTTTTCTTTCCTAGTCACTGAAGAGAATGTCACAAGTTTTAGGGACATGATACAGTTAGGGTTTAAGATCTAGGACTCGAGAGCTTAGGTTTATTAGAATAACATTCAAGTTTTGTTTCCATCTCTATTGCCACCAGCATGTCTGGAGTAAGAAGCCAGGCAGGTGCATGTGTACGGGTGGAAAGCCCTAGGTAAAAGCAAGCTCTGAGGACGGCTGCAAGTCAGCGGGCTGCAGCCTGTGCCTGGGGCGCGCGTCAGGCGGCGGCCACCGGCGGCCATCCGTGCAGGGCCAGCGCTGGCCGCAGTGGCAGTTACGCCCCTGTGCTGTGCTGCTCCTTGCGGAATGGGAACTTCGAGTAAGTTCTTCTAGATGTTGGTATGGAATAAATAAGGTTAAATGGTTTCCAGCCAGAAATGTTTTTTGATCCAGTAAAACATATGAAGCCCATGAAAGTAAATTTATCATCTAGATCTGTGTTTAATATTAATCTTCTGTAAACTTTTTGTTTTTCAGAAAATAATCGGTATAGTTATTGGGAAAACAGATGTCAAAGGCTTTCCAGACAGAAAAAGCTGAGTTATATTTGACTCTTTGCTTCACTTTTCATCAGTTGTGGCTTATGACTACAGCAAGCTTATCGAAGCCACTAAACTTCTTGTGCCTGTTTAACTCCTTAAGAGCAAGACCGGGTTCTCCATTGTGTGGTAAAGTGCTGGACTCCGGGCCATACGTGTGAGGCTATTAAGATCGTTTTTTAGTGATTTTCTTGATGTTCCCCAAACATAATACTAAACACTGGGTGACAGCAGGTGCCCGAGAGTTGTTCACTGGAGACCTCTGAGCCCATGTGTGGCTGTGAGGCTGGGCTGTGTGCAGCCGATGTGAGATCCTAGGACTCCGCTGTGCAGGGTCAGCGTCCTTGGGAACGGAAGAAACTAGGTTGTCACTGTCACTTTCAGCCTGAGAGCTACCAGTGCCCCCAGGCCTCGAGAGAGTGACCGGAGGAATGGTCTCAGCCTGAGGGGAGGAACAGCAGCGGTGACTCAAACAAGCAGAGCGTTCAGTGAAGAAAATGGTCACCTCGGGCTTAGCAGTTCTTGCCAAGTTGCTTGAGCTGTGGAAGAGCTAAGATCTAAGACTAAAACTAGCTCATCCTCCAGCTTTTGAAGTTGGCAGCAGGCGCCAGGAGGGAGGCCCGCACTGTAGAGCACCCCTTTGCCCTTTGAAATGCGAGTGCTTACTGAGGCCTTGAAGGCCTCTCTGCTCCCCCTGAGGGCGCAGGGCCGGCCAGGAGTCCATGGGTAGCTGGGGAAGACACCTTAGTTCCTGAGCATGCAGCTGTGTTGTTTGTGGTTTAGTGATGGTACCTTTATTTTTTTTAAATATTTAACATTAATTTTCTGCTTAGTTTTAGATAAATAGCAAAAACACTGTCTTTTGCTCATATTTGTTTGTATTTTCGCTTCATCATAATTAATTAGACCACAGTTCCTATTTGAATAGTTGAGATGATCCATGGATCTTCTTTCTAAGCTCTGAAAGAAATTTAAAATACACGAATTAGAAAGGGCTACTACTAGAATAGTCGCTCAGTTTCCAGCCATGAAATAAAAACTTCATCCATTAGGCTGAGGGAGGGGCCGCCTCCGCTGGGCTGGCGTGGCTGCAGATGTGACCTCAGGAGCATTGCGCATGCAGTATGTCAGTGTTTTCAGGCAAAACGCAGTCGCAGTCGTCTGCAAGGTCACACAGTGAAAGTCTTCATTCACACTCCAACTCTTCTAACCCTGCCCTTCCCCAGAGGTGGCCCTACTAGCAGTGAGATGGGTAGCCCCAGTTTTTATGTGTACATCAGGTTGCATTGCTACAGGGCTGGGAGGAGGGCACCCAGGACTCCCAAACCTGCCCACTCTAAATAGGATCTGCCGACCACTGCATCAAGACGAAACGTGTAAGACCTCTAATGGAAGGGAGCTTTAAACAGTGAGTGTGCAGTACAGACCGACAGAGTATAGTTTCCAAAGCAAGCACCCACAGTCACCCATCCCCTTGTGGGTAAAAGTCCACCCAAAAGGCCCGAGAGCCTGCCACAGTCTAAATTAGCCCCTTCTGGCGGGGACCATAGCAAAGAGCCAGAAATGGGCCTCTCTGGTGGTGCAGCAGGCTGAAGCACAGCACTGTGAAGCTGTCTGCAGCCACTGCTCACGAGTTCAATCCCTGGCCAGAGAGTGACCTATATGCCGTGGCAGGCCTCTCCTGACCCGCCCACTGCCCCCTCAGCACTGACTTCATCCGATCCGCCTGTTCTGTTCCCCACTCTGTCTCTGGTGAACCCTCTCAACCTCCACACCACTGGCCTGTACCCCAGTCCTATATGTATAAATAAATAAATCTTTAAAAAAAAAAAAGACAAGGGGCCCTCCCTGGTGGCACAGCGGGTTAAAGCGCAGCACTAAGAAGCTAAAACCACTTCCGCATGAGTTCGATTCCCGCCTGCCCCAGAGGTGACCCACAGGGCGCGGCAGACCTCTCCTGACCCGCCCGCTGCTCCCCTCAGCAGTGTACTTCATCGATCTGCCTGTTCTGCTCCCCACTCTGTCTCTGGTGAATCCTCTCACCCTTCGCATCTCTGGCCTGTACCCCAGTTCTGTATGAATAAATAAAATAAATCTTTAAAAAAAAAAAAAAAAGGAAAAAAGAAAAGGGTCAGGAATGCCCAGACAAGTCTGGGGGGGAAAGAGCACAATCAAAGCCACCATAAACACTGCCATAGTTGCCTCTCCCAGGGCTCCTCCACATCTGTGTCCCCCGGTACAGGGCCAAGAAACAAGAGCCGCTTCTTCGGGTGTCTGCTCCCTGCGCCCCCAGGTCTCCTCTGGCCCATCCTGCTGCCGTCCTCCCGGGCCTCCTCTCCAGGTTCCTTTCCTGCCGCCTCAGCTCCGCCCTCCCTGGGTGGGGCAGGGACATGCCTCCCCTTTACTGGGGGGGCCCTTGCTGTATTACTTTTTTTTTTTTTTTAAAGATTTATTTATTTGTACATACAGAACCGGGGTACAGGCCAGAGGCTCAGGGGCGGTGAGAAGCTTCACCAGAGACAGAGTGGGGAGCAGAACAGGCAGATCGACGAAGCACACTGCTAAGGGGAGCAGCGGGTGGGTCAGGAGAGGTCTGCCACACCATGTGGTCACCTCCGGGGCAGGCGGGGATGGAACTCATGCGGAAGTGGCTTTAGCTTCTCAGTGCAGTGCTTTAACCCGCTGCGCCACCAGGGAGGGCCCAGCTGTATTACTTTTTTAATCACAGAAATGATTTAAAACTCATTTTGGATGGAAAGTGTGCCTGCTGTCCCCTAGCAGGGTCTTTTCTCTCACACATTGTTTGGAAATAATTTGAGTGATGACTGGGGTGAGAACAGAAGGTGGGGAGAGGAGTGCAGCCTCAGGGGGCTTAGTGTCAGCCTGCTCTGTCTCCCCCAGGTGAACAGACAAGCAGGGGAGGGGCCAAGACCAGAGGGCGAGTTGCAGTGGGAACCTGACATCCCTAGAGGCTGTAGAACTTATCTCTAATTATATTTTATGCCATGAGTGAATTGCCATAGTAACCCTAAAATGCAAAATTAAAAGGAAAGTTTTCATTTAAAACCTAAAATCATTGCCTTTCCCTCAGACATCGGCTCAGAAAGGTTCACGTTCAGCTTCACCATCCGAGACTCGCCTGCCCATTTCATGAACGTGACGTCGTGGGGCAGCGAAGCCTACGTGAGGCCCCTGTCTGACAGCTTCAGGGTTGGCGAGTGTGGTAAGCGGGGCTGCGGCCTCGGGCCTCAGCTGCCCCTGGTGCTGGGGTTCTCTGGCTTCCGTGCTGCGTGGAGGCAGTGAGGGCGGGAGGGAGGTGATTCCGCCTGGACCCCCAGAAGCGCGTTTGGAAACCCACAGGTGGGGCCTCACTGTGTGGCCTCCGACCCTGGCTTGGTCCCGCTCTGCCCGAGTGGACCCTCCTGCTCCAGTCGCTGACCTTTCCGGAAACACGGGCTTCGGGAGCGGCTCCAGCCTTTTTGCATTCTGTACCGGCCGTCTCCCTCTGTAGTTCCGGGCAGTGTAATGAAAGTAGCAAAGATTTTATTTTAAAGATTGATTTATTTATGCACACAGAGTTGGGGTGCAGGCCAGAGATGCAGGGAGTGAGAGGAAGCCCCAGAGTCACAGCGGGGAGCAGAACAGGGGGATCCCCTGAGATACACTGCTGAGGAGAGCAGCGGGGAGACAGGAGGGGTCTGCTGTGCCCTGGGGTCACTCCCTGGGGGCTGGGGGGGGGCAGGATGGAGCCGGGCTGGGACAGCTTTAACCCCTTGGGCCACCTGGGAGGCCCAAAGGTAGGATTTTGATGGCTGACAGATCTGGATTCCAACCCTAGCCCCAGCACTTAACTTCTGTCGTCCTTTGAGAGATTTTCCTGACCTCACCAGGCCTCTGTGAGTGTGCAGCCTGCGGCGCCGAGCTCTGTTGCACGGGAGGTGACAGCCCTGGCCTGGCAGGGAGCAAGAAAGCGTGCGCAGCTGTCTTCCCAGCCTCTCCCCGCTGTTTTGCCCATTTCCAGGGCACTCGAGCTGTCTTCCAGCCCAACTGCCAGCTTGGGGGCACGTGGAGGTACAGGGACCTTCCCTCCTGCGGGCCGCAGCGTCCCAGCAGCAGACGCCCCAGCAGCAGGCTTGGGAGAGCCCCAGAGTCTAAGCAGACCTGGAGCTTCCTGGGGAAGGGCCACACAGGGCAGGGAGCTCGGCTCACACGGCAGAAATAGCGTTACCGTGCTGCTTTTACATACGCTGGGTTTTCACTTTCCCTGTTGCTACTTTGAAATAGCGTCATCCTCTTCCTCTATTTTAGTGACAATTGAAAACCCCCTGATCCAACGAAAGGAGCTAGAAAGGGAAGAGAGATTCAGCCCGGCCACTCCGAGGTAAGGGTCCCGGCGGCAGTCTGCGCGCACGACTTGGCGGGCGGGCATCGCTGTGGGCACCCGAGTGGACGCCTTCCCACACCGTCTATTTGTTTTTTTTAAGATTTATTTATTGATGCACACAGAATGGGGGTGCAGGCCAGAGGCGCAGGGATGATGAGAGGCTTCTCCCGAGACAGAGTGGGGTGCAGGACAGGCAGGTGGAGGAAGTCCACTGCTGAGGGGAGGGGGGGGGTCAGGGAGGGTCTGCCGCGCCCTGGGGGTCACCTCCGGGGCGGGGTCGCACTCGCTCTGAAGCAGCTGGCTCGCTTGCAGAGCGGGCTTAACCCGCTGCGCCGCCAGGGAGGGCCCTGCTGCACGGTTTATCTTTGTGATGAAGCCAGTCACTGTGATACAGACTCACGCCACGGTGAGCTTTGTCTGTAGGACTTTGCTCTATTTAGATTAGAGTGACTGGTCACGTTCGAGCACAGGGAGAGGCGCGCTATGGCACAGAGGACGTGCGCAGCCAGGCGCAGGCGCTCTGGCGTGCAGGGCTGAGCCGCCGACCTGGCCCCATGGGGCTCCCTGGAGACAAAGCTCCTGAGAAAGACTCTTGGGTGCGATTGCCTAGGGCGAGCTTGCGGATCAAGCCTATGAGGACGGGAGGGCTGGCGGAGGCCAGCAAAGATGGGGTCTGGCCCCTTCCGTGACCTCAGGAGAGTGCCTGGAGGCGCCTCAGGGCCATGGTGGGGCGGCCTGGGTGTGGCCTCTTCCCACTTCCAGGACGAGCTCCTGTCCTGGGACCCTTTGCCCTCTTGTTCCCTCCTCACGGAACAATCTTCTCTAGCCTGCTTTGCACACTGGTGTGGCGTGGCCAGGTGCGGGGCAGGGCCAGGGCCAGGGGCCCAGCGCCGCGAGACCCCAGCCGTCCGCACGTCTGTCTGCTCCCGCACGCCCTGGGGTGGCTTCTGTCCTGGCCCTTTCGCCCTGCTGTCTGCACTCACACAAGGTCCGCCCCAAACCGGGGCCCAGGTGTCCACAGTCACGGCCAGGCACCTTCGGGGGCGAGGGCTGGTGGCAGCCGCAGGCGGTAGGTGAGGGCACACGCACCAAAGCTTCCTCCCTAAAGTCCTGTTGTCCTCCTCCCGCAGCCCCCGGGCCCCGGCGTCAGGTCTGCCTATTTGGAAGTCCCGTGTAGGAGCTCTGCCTGTGCTTCCGCCCAGGGGTCTCCCTAGCGGCGCTCTGCGCTCCCAGGGCCTGTCTTCGCAGGCCACGCGGGCTTAGGACACAGGGCTGGAGAGCTGGGGTGAGATGTGAGGGGTCATGCTGAACGCGGAGGGGTGAAGGAAGAGCAGGGCTGGGAGTAGGGGGCCGCGTGCGTGGGGCTTGACTGGCCGTGGGGGCGCCCCAGTCCGGCTTTGGCAGGCACAGCAGCGCAAGCCTGGGGAGGTGTCGGCAAGGCGGGGAGGTGGGGACAGCCCAGCCCACGTTCAGGGCGCTGTCACTCCCCACATTACCCAGAAGGGACCTGGCCTGAGCCGGCGGCTGGCACTCGGGTCCCTTCATGCAAATGCTTGCTAGACTACATTCTCCGGCGTGCCTAAGAATGGCGTGTGCGTTCTCTAGACTGCAGCCCCAGTGTGAGCCTGTGAACCGGAAAGTGTTTGTCCTTTGATGCTGACGTGGTGTGCTTTTCCCTTCAGCGACTATAAACTGTTGCTCAGTGAGAATCACTCTCAGATAAAAGTCTGTCCCAGTCGTGAAGTGGACTCCAGGCTGCTGTCTTTGATACACTTACCTGTCAAAGAGTCTCGCGATTACTACTCACTGGGTGACATTGTCGCCAACGGGCACAGCCTGCACGGGAGAGTCCTCAACGTGCTGGCAGCTGTGAGGGCGGTAAGTGAAGGTGCAGAGGGCCAAGGGCCTTGGCGGGCTGTCGCCGACTGCTCAGGCAGCGGCAGCTGGCTGCGGGAGTCTCCTCTGCGTCTCGGCCGGTTCGACCGACCCACACAGCTGAGACGTGTCTCTCTAAAGATGGAGGACACAGCAGGCACCGTGAGCGGCCTCGGGCCAGCAGGAGGGCGGCGGGTTGGCTGGGGAGCCAGGCCTCTGCTCTGTGCTCAGCTTTCCACTGCCTCCTGAGTGGAGAGGCAGAGAGGAGGGGGACTTGCGCTGTGCTGGGGGCGCACCGGGGCTGGGGGCATCTGCTCCTCTTACTCAGCCTTGCAGTCATGGGCCGGGGGGCGGCGCGGGCCAGCTGCCTGACGCTGTCCCTCAAGCACCCGGAGCGGCTCGGTGTGGGGCATAGGTGCCCTCTGCGGTGGTCCTGGCACAGGGGCCTCTGGGCCCGGCCATTCAGGGCTGGGCATCCTTGAAAGCACACCCAGGGTCCCCGGCATCTGAATGGCGCCTGTGCTTCCCGGCTGTGAGCTGGCAGACTCTCGCCATGGCTGCCCTTCCCTCCACTGTCTCCAGGAGCCGTTCCTCCGCTGCCAGCCACGTCTCGCGCCCTGCCTGTGGCCGGCGTTGCACGGGAGGGCTGGCAGCTGTTGCTGCTGGAGCCGGCTTGCGGCCCAGGCATGCACGCACTCCTGGGGGAGAAGTCTCCACGGCTCCCAGCTGCCCCAGTTACCCTCTCACCTGCAGGCCTGGGCCCGCTGGGCAGGGCTCTGCAGGGCCCTCACCTGGCCCTCCGGCATTCCCCCAGAGGCGGTGGGTGGTGGCTCTGACCCACTGAGCTGGCGGTGAGGCCAGAAGACCCACCTTTCCTCCGCCTCTGCACGCACTGAGCCGCGGCCCACGCAGGTGCTAAAACACCACCCTGAGGGCCGCATCGTACCTCCCGCCCGAGCCTCAGCCACAGGGGCACCAGGGTTGGCTGCAAGCACCCACAGCGAGGTCAGCTCTGCGGGCCACGTGCCTGGCTGCTACGCGGTGGTGTTTCTGACTTGTTACTGAGGAGGCAGACGTGAGCGGCTGCATGCGTGAGGGCGTCTGCGGCTACAGATGAGAAGCAGCGGTCTCCTCGCCTCCTCAGGTCGGGGAACCCAAGTACTTCACAACCTCAGACCGAAGGAAAGGCCAGCGGTGTGAAGTGATGCTCTACGACGAGACGGAGTCGTCCTTCACGATGATGTGGTAACCCTGAGCTCCCGGCAGCCCTGGGTGTGGGGCTCATCTCCAGGGGCAGTGATGGGCAGTGGTGTGGCGAAAACAAACCCGCTCCTGTGGGTGGGGTCGGCGCCGCCTCATGGGGCCCCGGTGGCATGGGGCCTCTGTTTACATGTGGCAGTTTGTTCCTTCCTGTCTCGGGGAGACAGACCTATGCCTCTCAGGCAGCGGGCACCTAGGAGCTGGGCATGGAAGATGGCAGGCAATGTGAGCACAGGCCGCTCAGGCTGCGGCCTGCGCCCCACAGCCCAGGCGCCCGGGTTCCAGAGAAAGCGCCTCATCTGAAGTGGGCCTTTGCCAGGTCCCCTCAGAGGTCTGGCTTGAGCCCACTCCGTGCTCACCAGCCTGTGGTGGCGGGGGCGAGAGCTGCGGGAGAGAGCGGCCCGAGGGGCCGGCCTGGCGCCGAGGCGGGGAACCGGCACCCCCGACTCACGTGAGCCCGGCCACCGGGACAGGTTCTGGCTGGGGAGTATGCGGGTCACTGCTGGTTTTTCTCATGTGTTCGATTTTTTCAATCACTTCTTTAAAAAAAATGCAGTTGGGACAGTGAATCCATCCTGCGTGCCCAGCGTTGGAAACCCCGACAAACAGGTACCGCACTGCCGCCCCAGTGCCTGCGGCCGGCTTCGTCACGTCCGCCCTCCGTGCAGTGACCTTACAGTGCCTTCCTCCCTGACAGTGATATTCGCCGCAGACGCAAGGATAAATTTCGACAAATTTCGGAACCGCATGACAGCGACTGTAATCTCAAAAACCATTATTACAACTGACCCAGGTAAGAGATTTCAGAATTATTTTCCCTTTGGAACTGATAGTAGCTCATAGTCCAGTGTGTATTTAAGAATAAAAGTATAATTTGGATTTAATTTGAATAAAAATTGGAGGTTGCTTTATCGGTCTTGAAAAAGTTGTCCTGAGCTCCAGCTTTGCGATCCTTATTCAGGACCTGTAAAAATAATGACACGCATTTAGAAGCAACATTCCTCGTGATGGTATTTTACAAACGCCAATGATGTTGGTGGAATAACCTAAACGGTTGACCATTTAAAAAATAAATGGTCTCACTACGGGCTGGAGTGTTGGGAACACGAAAGGGGTGTCTCACTTGAAGGCTAGGCTGAAGGCCCACCGGGCTGCTGCTGGAGGGTGCCCCTTTAGCTCACTGGAAACGGGGTGCAGGGAACCCCCAGGCGAGGAAGGGTCGGGTGGTTCTGAAGGTGGCTCTCACTGGCCACCCACCTTTGCGCCCCCAGGAGGCCGCTAAGTCTGCAGAGGGCGGGCGAGCAGCTTTACAGGCGCCCGGAGGGGAGTGATGCCCGCGGTCACAGTGCAGAGTGCCTGAGCGCTCTGACGGGGCCAGCTACAGAACACCCGGTCCCCACAGACCAGTGGCGCCCAGCAGGGCGAGCCCCCGAGACAGCACACCCACGGTCGGAGAAGCTGGAGAGGAAGGCAGGCGCAGGGCCAGCTGGTGGCCGGGCGGCAGGGCCGAGGCGGAGGCTTTTGGGCCCCGGTAAGGGTGCCCACATGGGAAGAGTGAGAAGGAAAGCAGAGACCCTCGTGGTCTCACTGGCTGTAGGGGTCATTTCCTGGCCTAGGCTTCTCATTCTTCACACCCTGTGATTGGACAAGGTGTCGAGCCCCGGATGTCGAGGCCACCGGGCCGTGGGCGCGAGCGGTGAGCCCTTTGATTGTGCTCCGCGCCACGTTTTGTCGTTAGAATAATTTTGGGTCATAATTTTAAAGGTAATACATTTGCTTTTTACTTTATTATTTTCAATTTAAGATATACCGGAAGCTAACATCCTCTTGAATTTTATAAGAGAAAATAGAGAAATGAACCCTCTGGATGATGAAATGGACAGTGCTCTGAAAGAATCTGTAAATTGTAAGTGACCTTTAAACAGTATTTGAATTTTTCAGAGGCCAAAATTTGGGCTTTTTTTTTTTTTTTAAAGATTTATTTATTTATTCATACAGAACTGGGGTACAGGACAGAGATGCGGAGGGTGAGAGGATTCACCAGAGACAGAGTGGAGAGCAGAACAGGCAGATCCACAAAGTACACTGCTGAGGGGAGCAGCGGGCGGGTCAGGAGAGGTCTGCCGCGCCATGTGGTCACCTCCGGGACAGGCGGGAATCGAACTCATGCGGAAGCGGCTTTAGATTCTCAGCGCTGTGCTTTAATCCGCTGCGCCACCAGGGAGGGCCAATTTGGGCTTTTTTTTATATAGCAAAAGATACAGTCGTCTTTCCCCCTTTGAAAGAGTAGGTTAAACTTCAGAGGCGTAGGTTGCCTTTTGCCAGTCCCATGAGCACTAATGGGCCTCCCTGGAGAAGTAGCTGCACCCACACGTGGGGCGCCCCTGGGGCCCGCGCAGCAAGGTGAGGCTGGGGAGCGCCCTCCCTACAAGTGTAATGCAACATTGGACATTAGGAGAAAAGCAAATAAACAAGAAATGCCTGTAGGTCGCCACCTGCGGCTTCTGCAAGGTGCTTGGGAGAACCGGGGGGCACCCAGGGCCCTCAGGTCACTCTGGGCAGTTCTGCATGGGGGTGCGGGCCTTGTGGGAGTGACCGGTCGTCTCAGAGGAGTAACTGGAAGCATGAAGCCAGTGATTCGGCAAGTCACCCTAAATTGTAGAAGAACTTCGATATGTTGGGGATGTTGACATATTTCCTTTCATAGCAACCACTGATGGAAAAACTCCACAGCAGCAAAATCTTAACCATCATCGTTTTGCCCATAAGGAAGAACCAGCTTGAAGTTGCATTACTCGTCAGAATTCCAGCGAGCGGCCGTGCTCGTGGGGCGCGGCCCGCCGACCCTGGCAGCGGGGACTTCCCATGCCGTGCGGGACGTCACGTCCACCCACGGAAACCTGTAGGGTGAAATGAATATTTCAGGGTACAGCTATCATATATTTTTTAAAAGATTTATTTATTTATTCATACAGAACTGGGGTACAGGCCAGAGATGCGGAGAGCGAGAGGATTCACCAGATCTGACAGAGCGGGGAGCAGAACAGGCAGATGGACGAAGTCCACTTCCGAGGGGAGCAGTGGGCGGGTCAGGAGAGGTCTGCCGCGCCCTGGGGTCACCTCCGGGGCAGGCGGGGATCGAACTCATGCAGAAGCGGCTTCAGCTTCTCAGTGCTGTGCTGTGACCCGCTGCCCCACCAGGGAGGGCCGCTCATATTTTTTAAAAGATTTATTTATGTATGCACACAGAGCTGGGGTACCGGCCAGAGGAGCAGGGGCGGCGAGAGGACTCCCCAGAGACAGAGTGGGGAGCAGGACAGGCAGATTGACCGAAATCCACTGCTGAGGGGGCAGCAGGTGGTCAGGAGGGGTCCGCTGTGTCCTGCAGGTCTCTCCCTGGCTGGGGATCTAGCTCGCATGGCCAGCATCGTAGTGCTGCGCTGTAACCTGCTGCGCCACCAGGGAGGCCCTATCGTCATATTTTTAAAGGCTTTGTCATTCCTGCCTAAAATGAGAACGTGCTGTAGTGAAATGGCAAGGGGCGCAGGCCCCAGGGAGCAGCCCAGAGACACGACGCCTTGGCCAGCTCCAGGGCTCTCAGGGCAGCCCTGGGCCAGGGACGCGGGTGCTGGGCTGCACGCACAAGCGGCTGCTGTGTGCAGCTGCAGGGGCCGGGAGCGCCCTGCCCCGCTACCCATGTACTACCTAGGTGACACTCGGACTTCCAAGCCAATCTGAATCAGGAAAAGTGACAGTGAGTGAACGGTCGCCGTCCGCGGCGTGGTGACCTTTCTCGAACAGCCTCTGTGCGGACGCCGAGCACGCGCGCCCACGCCGGCCCTCCTGGTGCTGCTTTGCCAGGCCCAGGCCCAGGGGGAGGCAACGCTCACATCTCCCCGTGTAGGCTGTGGAGCCGGGCTGGGTGCGGGCCTGTGGCCGGCTCTGAGGTGGGCTCACGTGTGCGCTGCTGGTTCTCGATCCATCTCAGGGCGGTCGGGCTTCCTGCCTCGCGGGTCCAGCTGAGCTAAGGGAGGAGGGCTGCTCTCTACCACTGCGACGCGTGGGCCTGTGTCCTCCCCTGGGCGCCCCGAGCGCGCTGCCCTGTCGCGCGCCCACCTTTGCCCAGCCCTGCCAACCGATTTGCTGCACTCCCAGCGGCAGCCCTAGAGCCCGGCTACCTGCCAGCTGAGAGGGCCATGTCCTTCTGGTACTGGGTTTGCAGCTGCCTGCTAGTAAACAAGGCCAATTTCTTGGCCATTTTTTACCCTTTTTTGGGACGTGATTTTAAGTCGCCTCACCATGGAGCCAGGGGCCCTCCCGGGTGGTGCAGTAGGTTGAAGCATCACACTGGGGAGTGTCTGCAGCTGCTGTAGCGCGAGTGTGACCCCCGGCCAGGGAGTGACCCCAGGGCACAGCAGACCCCTGCTGACCTGCCCGCTGCCCCCTCAGTGGTGGGTCTCAGTAGATCCGCCTGCTCTGCTCCCCACTTTGTCTCTGGGGAGTCCTCACCCCTGCACCTCTGGCCTGCACCCCAGTTCTGGATGCATAAATACATAAATCTTTAGAAAAACATTGAGCCAGCTGTCTTCTCCTCGCCTGTGTTGGAGAGCTTCTCCCGTCTCCCCGAGCCCTGTCCTGAGCGCTTACGTCTCCTGGTCAGTGGCCTGCGGTCTGCTCCGGCGCCCCCAGCCACCAGTCTCCTCGTTCTGATGAAAACTATCTTCCCGTTGGCGCCAGCCTTTTGCCTTTTCTATTTTTCTTGCTTTTATGTCCTTTTACATAAGTGGCCTTAAGTAGCAAATACGATCATTTTTTTGCTCCTTAAACTACTGTGTTCTCCTTTGAACTTGGTAGCTTTGCTAGCTGCATCTCGTCCTTCAGAGCCCCTAGGGCGCATGCGGAGCCCTGACGGTGCCTTTTCATTTCCAGTGACCACGATAGAGGATGTCTACACAATCGAGCAGCTAAAGGCGAGAGTCCTGAGGGACGGGGGGAAGGCCCCCCCTTTCTACGGAGTTCTTTATGCTCACATCTCCACACTGAACATCGACGATGAGGTCACTAGAGTCGTTCGGAATAGGTGGTAAGTAGCCAGGCTGCTTTTGGCAAACTCACGCGCGCAAGAAACAAAACCAGTTATTCTTAGCAAGCCACTGAGTCCCGTTGAAGCCGTGCTTTGACGTGCAGTGCTTTGTTTTTGAGATCAGTGTGGGAACAGCTACCCATATTGATGTTTCCATGACAGATTACGTGGCCTAAGCTTATAATTGTCTTTTAAAGTCCAATTTAATTTACAGTGTTTCTGCCATCTTAGAACAAGACATTTCTTACTGCCAGAAACGTCACTGTGTTGACGACGATTGTCTTATGAAGCATTAGAAACTGCTCATGGCTGTCACTTCCTATAGCAGCACGAGTGACAGCATTACAGAATCATTCTCAGCCACGTGGTTTCCAGCGTCCTCGGCTCAGCCCGTACCCACTCACAGGAAACTGGGGCCTTAGCCCAGGTGCCTGGCGAGAACCCCGAAGATGCTGTGCGGCTCCCTGGGCGTCTGTAGTCTAGGCTGTTATGGAGATCATTCTAGACTCAGTGGAGATCGTTCTAGACTCACGTCGCGATGTAAGAATTAAATGACACGAGGCTCCACAGGCCCTGTCCCGGCCCGGGCGGCCGCGCTTGCAGAACTGTTGGTGCAGAAGAGAAGCAGAGTTGTACAGATAGGAGGGCTGTCACGCAGCAGGGCGCAGCTCTCCTGGGAGCAACAGCTGCCGTACAGAGGGGCCTGGGGCGCAGGAGAGTCCCGGCGGCCGAGCCCCCCCTTGGCAAGCTCTCCTCTCGGGCCTCCCAGCCTCCCCGAGGCTCCCCCACACCAGTGCTCTCCCCAGCCCCTGTCTCTGCCCCTCCACACTCGCCTCTCCCCTGGGGTCCATTCTCCAAACCCACTGTTTCCAAGACCTTGCTGGTGCCAACGGGTGACCGGACCTTTGACCCGACCACAAGACCAACTCAGGCATCAGACCCCAACCAGGAGTGCGTCCAGCCTGCCTCACCCTCTGTGTAGAACCAGGGCAGGAGCCGGGCGGGTGAGCCTGCGCGCCCAGAGGCCCCCAGCATCGTCAAACCCAGCCCGCGAGTCTCCCACACTGCCGCGGGGTTTTCTTTCTCTCCTTTAAGCCCAGCCTGCCTGTGCTGGGGTCAGCCATCCGACCAGCCATCCTGGCCACACTGGGCTGATGCCGCTTGGTGGGGGGCTGCTGGCCCACCCTGGAGTGGGCCGGGCCTGGAGATTGACAGACTGCCCAGCAGGGGCACCGTGGGTTTTGGGAGAACCTCCGATGCCATTGAGGTGGCCCCGAGGTGCTGTCCAGGCCCTGTCCCGTGCAGGGCCTGGCGCCTGCACGGTCCGCTGACTGGACTTTGACACCATGACTGCCATGTGGCCCTGCACATTTGCCCCCTGCTCTCCAGTCCAGGCTGTGGGGGCCTCGTCCAGGAAGCAGTCGGCACCTGCACAGCTTGCAGCAAAGACTCTCGGGAGCTCGGGCCGCTCTTCCTGAGCTTCGACATGCTGGTGGCTCTTACGGACCACACGGGCACGCTCCCCGCCTGCAGCCTCGTGGGAAGTGTGGCTGAGGAGACGCTGGGCTGCACGGTGAGTGACCGCAGGGTCGGCGTGTTCAGGCCTTTCCGGGTTGGAGGTCCGTCCTGCAGAGGCCAGGTGATGTCGGCGACCATCAGCACACAGGCAGCTGTGGACAGGCGGCAGTCTCCATGCCATCGCCCCTGACTCAGAGGCCCGGCTTGCCTGCTCCCCGCTTTCACCCTGGCATCTCACAGGGCGCGCTCACGGCCTGGGGGGAGGGGCCCATGGGGTGGCCGTGTCCCCAGTAGACTAGCTTGGTGTGGGTGGGCGGGGCCTCTGCCTCCAGGCCAAGCGCTGCTCTCCCCCGAGCGCAGCCTTGGCCCGGAGTTTCTCGTGGGAGCTCCTGGGCCCGATTCCCAGCCAGAGACCTGAGCTGCGCCTACTTGGAATGCTCAGAGCCCACGCAGGCCTCACACCGTGGTCAGGATGAACTGTCCGTATCACTCAAAAATGTGGAAATAGTGATTTGTTTCTTTTCAGGTAAACGAGTTTCTTGCAATGACGGACGGACAGAAAACAGCACTCAAGTGGCAACTTCTTTTGGAAAGAAGCAAAGTTCATTTAAAAGTTAGTGATTTGACAGCTCTGCTGTTCTGTACGTGCGGATGCTGGCCCATCCCAGCGCCGGAGCCGGCGAGGGGGGAGTTTGCGGTGTTGCTGAGGCCCTATTTCCACATGTGCAGCGGCACCAGCAACTTTAGGGACAAGAGATGCCCTTGTCGCGCCCCAGAAGGGGGCACGAGTGACACCAGAGCAAACATCTGCTCAGCGAATCCCCGCAGGCCCCGCTCCTGCGACTGTCCGGCAGCCTGACCAGGGGCTCACAGCGCGCCGCACGGGCTCCTGCAGGCTGCCCTGACGCTCAGTGAGCCTTGGACCTAGTGAGCCCTGGAGGGCCAGCCGGACCTGTGGGCCTGCCCTGCACAGAAGGGGGGCGCCCTTGTTCTGCTGATAAGGGACGTGGAGCTGGCGCTGAGCCGCCCAGGCCCACTCCAGGGCCTGCTCTACCCCGAGGACCTCTCCGGAGTGTTCAGGGCTTAGCCGTGAGACTTACCGGGCTAGGACTACCCGGGGGCAGTTACCACGGCCGCGGCACACCTGGTGGGGTGGCCGGAGGGGGCCCTCTGCGTGGGCGGCTGCTCTGACCCTGGAACCGCTCTGCCACCCCGTGCCGGGCTGCACCCTGCCCAGCGAGGCCTCGGCTGTGGGCGAGGTGAGCTGCGCTGGCGGGGGGACCTGCGCGGCCCTGGCCCCGGCCTTCACAGGCCTCCTCGCGCCCCGGTGGCACCCGTCATGGCTGCTCTGAGCACTCCGCGAGCCCCTTATCTACAGGTTGGATTTGAGACCCCAACTTTCCCACCATAGAGAAATGCCTCAAAATGTTTTTTGTTTTACAAAATCGAGAAGCCTCTGAGTCGGGGCCGGGCCTGGAGCACGCCCGCCCGAGGGAGCGCTGTCTGGGCGCCAGCCTGTCCGGCAGCTCTGAACCGCACTCTCTTCTGCAGTTTATCCCGTCGCACAGGGCTCGGGGCGGGCTGAGAGCCAGCGTGCTCTCCTGTCGGCGCGCAGACCCCGTGGAGGCCAGCAGGAGCCTGTCTGGGCGGGGAGCGTCGGACCGGTTGCCTCAGACTCCTGAGAAGAGCAGGCGCTTGAACTCCTGACGCGACACGTGGATAAAGTGTGTACTGTTCACACGCGGCCAAGATGTTTCTGTAAATCGTGTCCTCCTGGAGTGGCTGGGGTTAGCCTCTCCCCCAAACCCCCAAATCTCGCCAGCCTGGCCCCCAGCTGGGAGGGTGCACCAAGGAATAAACACAGAGGCCCGCCCGTCCTCACGCCTGGTTCCTTTCCTTGGGCCCTTGCTGCTGTTCCCGGCCACATGGCCACCTGCAGGGCCGCTGGCCGCTCCCCGGGAGCTGCGGGCCGGGCTCGCCGGCTGCTCCCACCTGCCTCCTGGGAGGACGCGGGGCTTGTGGCGGCCTGCCCACTCGGCAGTGCCGCTGGGCGTGACTCACCTGGGAGGGGACCGGCTTCAGAAGCTCCGGGCCTCAGCACTTGAAAGGGAGGCTCTGAGGGGCAGCCCCACCCGCCAGGCGGCCGAGCAGCACGCAGCCCCGCTCCCGCCTCCGGCCAGCGCTCGCCTGCCCCACGGGAGCCGAAGGTGAGTCCCGGCCGCCGACACAGCTGGTGTCGGGGCGTCTCCCGGCTCGCGGAGGGGTGCTGGTGGGGGGCGTGGGGTGACCCCAACTGGTGCTGAACACGGCCAGGGTGGCCTTGGCCAGCCTCGTGGATAGCAGTGTGTCCGGGGAGGCCCGGGCATGGCGACGGCCGAGGTGAACCAGGAGGGCGGGCAGGGTGGCGGGTGGTCTGTGGGCACCCGGCAGGGGCAGGCGTCTGGCCAGCTGGTGCCGGGGCCCAGGGGGCCGGGCTGCGGCAGCAGGTCCTGAAAGGCCCAGGCCTGGGCTGAGGGCGCCACAGCGGTTGCCCGGCGGCAGGGGCCGCGGACACCACCCAGGAGCCCACGGGGCGCGGAGCCAGCCCAAGGCGCTTCTCGGTCTGTCACGTTTCGCAGGTGGCCGTGAGGGCGCCAGACCTGGCCCCTCCCTGGGCACCTTCTCCCCTCTGGGTCGGGGCACCGTGGGCCGCGCCCACTGCCTGGGGACGCCCCTCTCCGTCCGCTCGGGCGCCATCTAGTGACACAGTTTGAGACACTTTTTAAAATATTTACTGATGCAGGCAGGGCCGGGGCGCAGGCCAGACGCGCCGGGGCGGTGAGAGGAAGCCCCGGAGGCAGAGCGGGGAGCGGAACGGGCCGCCGGACGCAGTCCACTGCCGAGGGGGCGGCGGGCGGGCCAGGAGGGGTCTGCCGCGCCCTGGGGTCAGCCCCGGCTGGACGCGCTGGCGCTGCGGCGGCCGGGGCCTCTCAGCGCCACCCGGAGGGCGATGAGGAGACACCTGGTGGCGACACCTGGCCGGCCCGGCCAGTCGCCGGGCCCGGGGGCCGCCCCGGCTCTCTGGTCCTGACTTCCCCACAGCCTCGCGCTGGGCGGGGCGGGGCGGTCAGTAGTCCGGCCTCTGCACCCGGCAGCGCATGGAGACGACGCCCTCGATGCCGGCCTCCAGCTCGTCGTGCTCGCGCACCGGCCCCACCCCCTTGGGCGTCCCGGTCAGGATGAGGTCGCCCTCCTCCAGCGCCATGATCCTGGACACGTAGCTGATGATGTCGGGGATGCGGAAGATCATGGCCGACGTGTGTCCCTCCTGCCGGAGCTCGCCGTTGACCTTGAGCCAGAGCCGCAGGCCGTGCGGGTCGGGGATCCGCTCCCGCGGCACGAAGGCGCTGACCGGGCAGGACCCCGTGAAGCCCTTGGCCAGCGTCCAGGGCAGCCCCTTCCTCTTGCACTCGTCCTGCACGTCCCTGGCGGTCATGTCCAGGCACAGCGCGTAGCCGGCCACGCAGTCCATGGCGGCGGCCGCGGGCACCGCGCGGGCGCGCCGGCCCAGCAGCACGCCCAGCTCGAGCTCGTGGTGCAGCAGGCGGCAGTGGGCCGGCAGGAGCGCGGGCGCGCCCTCGGGCGCGTAGGCGCTGGACGGCTTCAGGAAGAGCAGCGGCTCGCGCGGCAGGGCGCTGCGCATCTCCTCGGCGTGCTCGGCGTAGTTCCTGCCCACGCACACGATGTTCTTGCCCCACTCCCAGAAGCGGGACAGCGGCCTCGCGGCCGCCATGCTCCCGGCCG